GGCTGGCAGTCAGCGCACGGGTCACTTCGTGTGACGTGGCGATGGGAACCAGCTGCTGGACCCGGAGCCTCCACTCATGTCCCCATCCCCAGGCATCCCAGCGAGGGGGAGTAGGTCCGGGCAAGCTGGGTGACCGGAGCCCTTCCCTGCAGCTCCTGCTCCAGTGCTCAGAGACCGATCCTGCCTGGGGACAGTCACCCTCCAAAAAACCAGGGCACATGGTGTTGAAAATTTCTGATGGAGAAGCTTTTGGCAAACTGGGGCCTGAAGGAATCAGTGTTTGGTGGGGCAGTTGCCAACGCAGACGGCGGGACATCTCCCACACCATAGACCCGACTCCAGGGGCAGGAGAGGGAGCTTAAAACACAAACCTCTGTCTTTTCCAAAGTCAGTTTTCAGCCGGGTCTATCCCAGCCTGTGTCTGCACTAATGAGCTGTGACTGAGCATCCTAAAACTGCCCAGCCACTTCTCAGCTTGTGCAGAAGGGCAGCACAGGCGTCTTGGTCTTTGCTTCAGGGAAGAAATCGCTTAAAATTTTCTCTGGCCTTCATGAACATTTAAACACCCTAGGGCACAGGAATGGGAAAGCGGGGGCAGCCCTTACCAAGGCTTCCTCTCTGCTTCTCAAACCTTCAGAGGTAAGAGGGAAAAGGCAACAGAGCCTCGTGCCTGGGTCACTCTCCAGCCCAGGTCCATCCCCACCAACCAGGGCATGACCTGAGAGCCTCCCCATCGAAGCACGGGGCCGGGGTTCTGTGCTGCAGAAAGCAGCTCTTGCATCACACGGGATCAAAAGAAGGAGAGGTGGAGGCAGTGGGAGGGTGAGGACAGCCTCGCTGCTTCGAAGGATGGTACCTGGGGGAGGAGGGACACAGCTCCCGGCACGATCTGCTCCCATTTCGGTAGCGGTGCGGTGTGTGGGGTGGCAAGTTGTGCCGTGACGCCTGGGCAGGTGAGTGTTGAGGCAGAGCGCAGCGTTTGGCCCCATCGAGGTCAGCAGCTCATCGCGTGGCCACAGCAGTCCACGGGGTGATTAAGCAGGTGCTGCTGGCACAGCGTGGGGGTGCAAAGGGTGCTCAGGGCGCTCCTCCCTGGTCCCCGTTGGGTGTGCTTTTGGAGAGGGGCGAAGCCACGAGCACTCCCATCCTGGGAGTTTCTCCTCTGGAGAAACCGCGGTCTGGAAACTGCCTCGTTATTGTGTAACGTGGCCACATCTGGGGCCGTGCCGTGCTGGCGCCGCACCAGCTTTGAGCTTTTCGCAGCTTTGCGGGGTCTTTGTTTTGCTTTGTTTATTTAAAAGCTCAAACCCTTGAGCTGTCACCCGTCGTGGCAAAGGTGTCCCAGGCACAGAGGGCAAGCTTTGGGAGCGCAGCATCCCAAAGGAGGGACGCTGGGTGTGAAATCCCACTGCCTGCACGTAATCTGACTCCTTTGGGGCTGCATCCACCCCGTCCTACAGGGGAGAGGACCGCCGATGCCCAGGCTGGGTGCTGTGGCTGGAAGGGATGGGAGACAGCAGGGGGGCCTGGTGGGAAGGAGCAACCTTATCTCCCTTTTCAGGGCCCACCGCAACGACATGGAGAACATCTTTCCCTTCCTCTTCCTCGGAGCCATCTACTCCCTGCTGGATCCCAGTCCCGCAGTAGCCAGGATCCACTTCTTCATCTTCTGCGTGGGGCGCATCGTCCACACCATCGCCTACCTCCTGCAGCTGAAGGCACCCACGCGCTCCGTGGCCTACGGCGTGGCGCAGCTGCCCTGCTTCTCCATGGCTCTGCAGATCCTCCTGGCCACCACCCCGTACTGGTAACGCCCAGCAAGACCGACCATCCGAACTCCCTCGTCCTGCGCTCTGCTGCTGCTTCGGCACAAAGGTTTCCCCGGCTGGACCGGGTGGTGCGTGTGCGAGTGTGAGTGTGCACATGTGTGTGTGCGTGTGCGTGCGGGAGGTTGCCAGGGAGGCCGCCTGCGCCCCAGGGATGCTCAGTGCAGCCTCGATAAAGTCCCCGTGTCCCCGTGCTATTGAAATTGGGCAGGGAGTCACCAGAGAGAAGGGGCACGTCTCCCCGTGGAGCAGGAAGGGGATGTGGGGGCTGGTTTCTCTCCCTCTTGCTAAGGGTGGGAGGGGGAAAACACCCTGACCACCCCTTGCAGAAGGGGTTCGTTGAAGGAAAGAAGGTTTTCTGGCCCAGACGCATTTGGGACTAGGAAGGGAAAGATGTGCCCTTTCCCCTTGGTCACGAATACCCCGTGAATCGGGAAGGGAAAGCCACGAGGGTCCCATGAAATCTCTTCATTGGCAGAGGTGGGTGGTAGCAGAGAGGGGTTGTAAAACAGCCGCCCCCCTCCTGCCTAGCCCTGTGGGGAGTGGGGGGTCCCTTGGTTTCCCTCTCATGCGAGGAGGAGGACAGGAGGCAGGTGCCTGCCAGGCAGCGTAACATGGAAGTCACAATCTTGGGGGTGACGTTATGAAGCCACCGAAGCGCTCAGTGCTCCCAGCACGGCCCCGTCTCGCGCCATGGGACGCAGCTCGCTCCCAGGGAGCCTCGCTGCAGGCGGGAGCCCGCCTGGCCCAGCCAGGAGC